AGGATCTTCTGAAACAGATGCTAGTTGTGGCTGTCATAAAGTACATTCATGCTTTCTTACCTTATAGTACAGGGGGACAATTGTAGGAGGTTAGGGGTAGGCTAGGTGCCCTTCTAGAAATCTTGGAGGGCTGTGCCCCCTGGAAAAACAAATCAAATTTTGCCCCCAAATGCCTTCTGGAGGGCATGGAGGCTTTTTCCATATTACACCCCTCTTCTAAAATATTGTTAGAAATACATGAACATTAATTACAAATATGTTGAATAACATAAAAATCAGAGGAAATGAATTAAAATAGAATTCTTTATTAGAGGTGGTTAAATCTATTCAGATCCCTCCCCCCAACTCATTGTTAACAAATGACATCCCCCCCACTCAATCTTGATAGCTTATTAACAAATGTACCTTGTATTGCTGAGAGAGGTTCTAATGATAGTAGCAAATTTCACACTTCATTGCGGAAAGTGGAGCTCAAAATTTGCTTTCTGTTTTAGACAATGAAATGATTTTCAAATTCTGCCACTTCATTTTGAAATTTTACTTCTGAAATTGTACCTTTTCCAGAAACTGAGATCAGTCTGTTTATCTATCTATCTATCTTACATGGGCAAATGTGTCTGATTTCCTGTCCAGTTTCCTGGTTGGTTAACTCTGCAGTTCTCTCCTGGACCAGTGTGGCATAGTGCTTTGAGTGTTGGACTGGGACTCTGGGAGACCAGGGTTCGAATCCCCATACGGCCATGAAACCTCCTGGATGATCTTGGGCAAACCACACTCTCCCTAGAGGTAGGCAGTGCCAAACCTCCCTGGCATAAATTTTTCAAGAAAACCCTAGGTTGCCATAAGTTGGAGCCAACTTGCAGGCTCATAATAACACAGTTCTCTCACAGTATATGCTAGAACAATCCATTCACACTTAACATTCTGCTATTGCATATGTTTCCTTATATAAAACAGACACTAGCCCTCTGTGTTTAACACCAAATCCTTGTCTACATGGTTGTTTTACCCCAAGTTCCCCCCCCACGCACACTGTGTTCTGCTTACACAACACAGGGCCAAAACCCCAAATCGGGTCTGACATGACTTCAGAATTCCCGCACCTAATTTGGGGCTTCTTCCCCTTAGCCTGCATTTTAAAAACTCACGTTCTGCTGTCGGTTTTCAGCAGGTTTTCAACAAGAAGGGGTGGCTGCCTTTTCACTCGCAGTTCCTGTTTGTTGCCAGCTGCCGTTACTGCAGGCCTAAGTCGCTGTGAGATTAGAAAGAGGACCCCAGGGTCAATAACATGGCTGGGTGCCTTGTTCTGACCTCTGGCAAGTATAGAAGAGCCCTCAGCTGACTGTCTTTATTTGGGGGGTGGAAGGTTGCCTATTCATCATCTAGTTCTGTAGAGAAGAGTTTGGTGGAAGAATGAGAAGCAATACCTTGAATCACCACTAAAGGGCACTGCACACTACAAGAGTTTGGAAATTACTCAATATACTCGTGTATATTGTTCACTTTTTATTCTATATGTTCTGATGTACCGTCCTTTGGTGGGAAGGGCATTATAAATAAACATCATCATCATTATTATTATTATTATTATTATTAGTCTAGAAATTTTTGGAAATTTATCCAAAAACCCCCTGAGTCGGTCAACTTATCCATGGGACAATGTGAGTACTGTACTTTAACTCTTATAAAATAAGGAATCATCCTCTGGTAGAAAGCAAGAGCTTAATCTGTCCTGGAAGCACTGACCTCTCTCTACTGTCTCATCCATTCAGTCTTTAAGGTGAGCACAAACTGCTGGAATTTTGTAACTTCTTTGACATATTTTTCCTCTGCTTACTCCTTTGGATCCTTTGTTACAGGCTCCGAGGTTTTACCCTCATCTTATCCATGGGTCATATCAAAATCCATAATTTTGGCCCCCAAACCTGCCCTTGACTTACACATGAGATCGACTTATAGTTGAGTATATACAGTATCTTGCCTATTAACTTGCAAGTCAAATCTGTCAGTGTATCTTCTTTCAGAGCACCCAAATAATTGTGTGTCTTAGGCTGCTGTTGCTTTTCTTATTTTAAGTTACATCACCTTCAACTTATGGTGATCCTCTGAATGAGAGACTTCCAAGAGCCTTGATCATCAACCAGCCCTACTCAGATCTTGCAAACTCAGGGCCATGGCTTCCTTGATTGATTCCATCCATTTGTAATGTAGTCTTCCTCTTTTCCTGATGCTTTCCACTTTCCTCAGCATTATTGTCCTTTCCAGTAGATCACGCTGTCTCATAGCATGTCCAAAGTACAGCCTCAGTTTAGGCATTTTGGCTTCTAGGGAAAGTTCAGGCTTGATTTACTGTAAGACCCACTCATTTGTCCTTTTTGGCAGTCCCTGGTATCTGTAGCAGTCTCCTCCCTCACCAATTTTAGACTGTGACACATATAACTAACTGGGATTTACTCCCTGAGGTGTTTTTTTACCTCTAACATCAGGTAAATTAACTTGAATTTGGCTTTTATTGGCATATTTTACCTAGCAAGACACCTAAAAATTATCTTCAGACCAGGGAGTGCATAAACTTCTTCAGAGAATCCTAGTATTTGCCTTAAGGAGAACCTTTAGGACTCAATAGGAGAGGGATAGAACTAGATCCCAAAGGAAGTTACTCTGATTGCTGTTAATGGAGAAGTGTGTTTTATTGCATTTCTTTTGCCTCCTTTGTTCAAACTCACTTAGAAGGAGTGCGACTGCTATCTCCATTGGCTCTCCCCGGCACCATCTTCAACCTTAAGCATCCCAAGCAAGATTCAGCTCTACATTGTCACAGTGTTGTCTCCCATGTGATTTGTAACCTCTTCACCTGATGAAGAAGCCTGTGAAGCTTTGAAAGCTAGCATGTTGTACTTTACGTCTTTTAATAGGCAAAATAACAGTACCACCATAATGTGTACTTTGCATTTTATTATATGGCCAACACAGCTACGCCAGAACAACCTTCTTCCCCCTGTATATATGATAGAACCCAGATAGGTCCTGGGCTCAGCTTTGTGCCCTTCACAACTATTTGAAACTGATGAGAACTGTTTATAGGAGCCCTCTTGACTGCCTTTCTGCAGCCAGGGCAAGCTTGTAGGGCAAGAGGAAACCTTGGTGGTTTAAAGAGTACTTAGACTGGTATAACTAGGATTTGCTCTAGTGTAAGATTGTACAAGATCCTGGTCAAACTCTTAGAGGCCATAGTACTCTAAGTAATCAAAATGCACTGCCAAAAATGGATGGAAAGTAAGGACAAGTTGTTCTTATTTTGTGTGTACATTTTGGCTTTGCGTAAGAGTGTCGTAGAACTCTAGACCCCAATAATATACCTAAATGCCCACTGAGGGCACTGTTTGGTACACTTGGTACTCCTGGGTTGACAGAAACTTTCCACTTTGCACAGAGACCAAAGTTTGGTGTTCCACAGCTGTGAACCTTTCAAGACAGGTTTGCAACTATTAACAAATTATAGCTTGTCATTGTGTGTGAGTCAGCTCATATCTTACAAATTTGTACTCTTGTCTCTTAATGTTAGAATTCATCTCTTTTGCAGCTTTCATGACCTTCTTTATGGCTTGCTTGACTCTGCCTGTTGGTCCCAGCTGCTGCCTCATAACCTTGTGTCCTACCTAATCTGTTGTAAATGTTTTTCTCTAAGCCTCACAGATAAAACATTACCCTCATTGCTTTCCCTTTTCACCTTTTTAACTCTTTCTTTCCTTCTTTTTTTCTTTCCTCATTCCCTCCTTCCTTTCCTTCCTTTTCCTTTCCTTGAAGCTTCTGTATTATTAATGTTAAATGTGGTATTGTCGGACTTTCTTGGCAACTTCTCAGACTAAACAAATATGTAAAATTTGATAGTACTCAGGTACAGCAACATAAGTTACATGCCTTCAAGTCATTTTCAACTTATGGCAACCCTAAGGCCAACCTGTTAACATGATTTTTTTACATTATTATTATTATTATTATTAATTTTTTACAGAGGAGGTTTGCCATGCCCTTCCTCTGAGACTGAGAAGGTGTGACTTGCCCAAGGCCACCCTGTCGATCTCCATGGCCAAGCAAGGAATTGAACATTGGGCTTTAGAGTTGTAGTCCAATGCTCAGAGCATTATATCCTGTGGATATAGGGCTCAGACTGTATCTTCTAGACCTCTAGAAGTGATGGGAGTTGGTATAGTGTATCAGTTTGGGTTGTTCTGGGAATCTAAGAGACCAGGGTTCAAATCCAGGATCATCCATTTAAGTCACACACTTTCTCAGCCTAAGAGGAAGACAATGGGAAACCTCCTTTGATTAAATCTTGTCAGAAAAAGCCTAGGATAGGATCATGACTTGAAGGTACATAACAGTAATGTTTGTATTGTGAAGACTGGTTATAGTTTGAGGTCTGGTAACATGCATAGTTTGGAGTTTGAGGCCTGATGAAGTCTAGTAGTTTGTCATGGGCAAGAAGGCTATGTGATCTAATGGGTTGAATGTGGGACTGGGACTCTGGAAGTTGTATGCTTTCAAGTCATTTCTGACTTATGATGATCCTAAGGTAAATCTATCTCAGTGTTTTCTAAGGCTGAGAGTGTGTGACTTGCCTAAGGTCACCCAGTGGGTTTCCATGGCTAAGCAGGGATTTGAATCCTGGTCTTCAGAGTTGCAGTCCAAAGCTCAAAACACCATGCCACCCTGCCACCCTGAGAGGATTCAGAGGAAATGTCCTCTGAATCAATATGGCCAAGAAAACCCTATGAAGCTTGCCATAAATCCAAGTTGAGATAAAGGCATACAAAGCTGCTCTCTCCTTCCCCTTTTTCTGAATTGTTTATACCTAGGAATAAAGGTATCATAGCACATCAATTCTTGCTATCAAGCCAGGTTACTGATCAGTTCTCTGCATCCAACTGTGAGGAATCATCATCATTATTATCATTTATATGCTGCCTTTCCCCACAAAATGGGACTTTTACTGAAACTAAAACAAACCATCAGTAAGATCACATTCAAACAGATAAGCAAAAACATACAAAAAGGCTATTATGGAGGGGAGGGGAGGGGCTAGCCATTAAACATGGCGGATGCATATTTGAAGAGCTAGCCTCAATTGTGATGATTAATTATAAATAAAAGCAAGAATTTCAACTTAAAAAGCAACAAGAAAGTGGGTATTGATGTTCACATTAAAAAGGGCAGCTGATCAACTTATTACAGATTTTTTGCACACCTGCAAAAGGAAAGCCACAACTAGATGAGAGAGGCCTAATAACTACCAATATGATCCACAGCTCTAATAAGGCAAGTAGAACAGGAAACCCTGGATCTCCTGTTGTCTCAGACCTCAGACCAGAATTACTGGAAAGGTTACGTGTAAATTTGGTCAGAGATCTACAAACAGACTGGTCACTTGCTTTAGAACCACTTAGTTTGAAAATCTCTGAGATTTCAAATAAAATCTAAGATATAGAGGAAACGGCAAATGCTGCCTTTCAACAGGGATTTCATCATAAAAACAGAATTTGCTCCTTAGAAGAAGAAAATTCTCATCTACAAAATAAGCTGGAGGATTTGGAAAACCAGAAAGTCGGGTAAATCTTTGCCTGAAAGGTATTCCAGAATCAACGACCCCCTCCTCCCTACAAGATTCAATACTTACATGGACGTGTAAAATAAATCCTGGGCTAAATCTATCTCCATCAGACGTAGAATGCATGCATCGCTCCCTAACTCCACAACAGCCAGCTACCAAGGCCCCCAGGGATATTATCATGCAATTTACGAGATTTCCAGAGAAAATTTTAGTTTTGAGCACCTTGTCGAGAGTCACAGATCTTAATTATGAGGGGCATAAAGTGGCAGTGTATCAAGATGTTTCAATGGAGACACCAAGAAAAAGACAGTCCCACAAGCCTATTACAGCCGTTTTGCTCTCCAAGGGAATAAATACAGATGGGGATTTCTCTTCAAGCTCATTATCTTCCATGGCGATGAGACCCTAACTGTTTCTACCAAAGCCCAAATGATGCAAATCTTTGAAACACTTGGCATTATGATACCCACGGATCTTGAAAGAAATACCTGCTCAGTTAGACCTAATGAGACCCCTGAGGGTGATAGCATCAAGGAACACAATGGCAGAAAAGAAAAAAACAAAAGAAGTTTAGTCAACCTTCAGGTTCTGTGTAGGCACCCTGCAAAAACCCCTGGGAATTCATTGGTGATGATCCTCAGTGTTTTGATAGGACTTTGCAGGCAGTGGAGCAAGCCTAGCAGCATCCCCACAGCAGCCATCTTGAAGTTTGTGTTCCTGCACCATCAACTGTCACTTTCGTCCACCATTTTGGTTGCTGAACTTCAAAAACTTACTGACAGTGAGGCAGCTATCCACATGGTTTGCCTGGTGGACATTTTTGTGTATCTGTTTCTCCACAGCTAATAAACTATGCTTTTTTTCCTTTCTACACTGCTATTAATTTCCCTGGCATACTGTAAACCTATGCAGAGTTATATGATACTCTTTAAAGTTTAAAATTTAATATTTCTTGCTTCTTAGCAAACTGTTATTAAAATATTAATCACAGGATGAGCCGAAAACATAGGAAATAATATCTTACAACAAAAAGATATTATTTTCCCCTGTTCCTCCAAAGGAGATCAAAATATTTGACACTGATCGGGAGAACAGGAGACACCTATCCTCCATTCCTCTTGGTCATGATACTGTTTTTAGTTCGTTGTTAATAGCTAACTATATTGTTATGTTATTGAATGCTTATTTACATCTCACGACTATTCTTAAAATCTTTAAAATCCTGTAAGATAATCCAAATGTAGCAAAACTAAGCTATTTAGATCCTCAAATGCTAACTCTCAAATTGGAAAATAATGTGGGCAATAGGAAAATAAGTTCCAATTTCTCTTCACAATCCCTGAGAGTCATTTCCAGTAATGTTAAGCTTATGCTCAGCAAAAAAGAGAGGGATAATACTAAAACAGATCAAACAACTATATCCAAATTTCTTATTCCTGCAAGAATAAGTTCTGACTCCATCCTCCCAAAAAAATTGTTTGGAAACCAATATGTAGTGGGGGGCACGGGAAAAGCCAAAGGGATAGTTATTCTGCTGGACAAATCATATCCTTTTGTGGTAAACAATTAATTTAGAGATGATGCTGGGCGCTACCTAATACTGATGGAGGAAATTTTTGGCCAATGCTATACTCTAGGCACCTTCTGTTCACCCAATACAGGTCAGCACCAATTTATGTCAGCTTTTTTACATCATCTAAGTGAAATGGCTGTTGGCTGCATAGTGTTGGGAGGAGATTCTAATGAAGATTTGCACTCCTATCTTGATAAATCAAAACCTCCTAAACATATAGGTCCAACCCCATTGATGCATATAATTAAAGGTGCAGGATTATTTAATCCTTGGCAATCTCTACACCCCATAGAGAAAGACTTCAACTTCTACTCAGCAGTCCATAAGACATATTCTAGAACTAATCACTTTTTTAAAAAATCTCTAAGTCCCTATTAGGCCAAACTTTAAATTTCACAATCAGTCCAATCCTATATTCATACCATTAACCAATAATACTAGACTGGGCACTGGAAGGACTTTCCCAGACTTCAAAATCATAGCGGTTTAGCCCAGCACTCGTAATGCATGACCTTTAAAAAAGTCCATAGAAAAAGCAATAGAAACTTTTTATTTAGAAAATTGGTCTGAAAGCACCTCTGAAGCGCTACTGTGGGACACCGTGAAAGCAGTGCTCAGAGGTCTGTTTATACAGGAGGGCTCCAAACAATAGAAAAGTAAAGAAAAGAAACACCAGGAGTTGATTAAAGAAACTGAATTTTTGTCAAACTTCCACAAGAAGACCCAAACTCTGACATACTAAAAACTTTATTAGAAAAAAAGCTCAAATTGAAGAATTACCGTATTTT